CTGCCACTGCTCCCTCCCCAGTCTCAGCTGCTGCAGGGGCCCTTTCCATTCTTGGCCCCACTGCTTGCCTCCCTCCCCCTCCTTTGCTCTTCTGGGTCCTTCAGCAGGTGCCTGTGGGCACACTGGTTCCCTTCTCCCAGCAGTGTCTTGCTGCCCCCCTGCATTTCTAGAACAGGCACCTCCTCATTGCCTGCCTTCCCTCTCCACTGCTCCCCCCATCTCGTGTGTCCGTGCTCCTTGCTGTTCTTCTGTTTGGTGCCTGAGCCTCCCCTTCTTTTTTGGTTACTCTCCCTCCATGCATGAATTCACTTCCCCCAGGTTCTTTAAATAGCTTGCCCCCTAATCTCCCCAGTGCCACCCTATTACCTTTCAACTACACCCTGGGGAGGCCCTTGTCAGCCCTACGCTCTGTCACGTTCTCTCTTTCCGCCAGCAGGTAGAAATCCAACTACTGCTGGTGGGACGTGGGAGAGAAGCCCTAGAAGGGTCATTTCTGGTGCCCCATCAAGGGGTCCAGTAGTGGGTGTATTATACAGTGGGGGAGGCCCAGTCGTTTCACTCCTGGTTGGACCGCATTTATCTCTTTTATCATCTTTCTCAGGTCCACTCCTCCAGCATTCAGCCGGCCCCATTCTTGGACCACCACCAGGGCCAGCCTACTGACGTGGGAGAGAAGCCCTAGAAGGGTCATTTCTGGTGCCCCATCAAGGGGTCCAGTAGTGGGTGTATTATACAGTGGGGGAGGCCCAGTCGTTTCACTCCTGGTTGGACCGCATTTATCTCTTTTATCATCTTTCTCAGGTCCACTCCTCCAGCATTCAGCCGGCCCCATTCTTGGACCACCACCAGGGCCAGCCTACTGGCATGGTATGGCAGTGGTGGGATTTGGGGAAGGTGGGCATGTGGCTCTTCTGCCACAACTACATCCAGGGGGGCCAGCCGGCGGAGGGATGCGGTGATAGAGCAGTTGTAATGGGAGGTTTTAAAGCTAGAGAGGCACCTGGCCACCGGCCCCAGAGATCCATCCCTCTGCAAGGTGTACCGGGAGAAATGGGAGGAACTCCAGGCCCTTAACTACCTTTGGGCCCGGGGTGCCTTTGTTCTCACATCCGCGGGAGATGGATTTTGGCTCCTGCTTCTTCTATGCCCTGGAGAAAAAGAGGAGGGGCTAAAAAGCACATCGTCTGCCTTCTGGCGGAGGATGGCACCTCCCTCATGGATCTGGTGGAGATGTGTGAGAGGGCTTTTACACCTCTCTGTTCTCCCCAGATCCAACTGATGCCAAAGCCTGCAGAGTTCTCTGGAACAAGCTCCCAATGGTCAGCATGGGTGACGGGGACCGTCTCTCTCTCTCTGGCCAAGTTCTCGGAAGCCCTCCATCTCATGCCCACCAACAAGTCCCTGTGCATGGACGGGCTGACTGTGGAGTTCTACCATGTGTTCTGGGGCATCCTCAGCCTGGACCTTGCCAGTGTCTGGGCCAAGTCTTTGGAGAGTGGGGTTCTCCATTGATCATGCAGGCAAGCCGTGCTCATCTTGCTGCCCAAGAAGGGGGATCAGGGGCTAGGGGTTGGTTGAGATGCATCCTCTTGCAGGATCCTGTTGAGGTAAACCCGAGCAGCAAAATGACTCACCTCCTGAAGTATGTGACGGGGAGTACGTAGGGTGGAGAGCCCCATGCATTGGGCAAGCACCAGAGGATCCACCCGGTCTCACCAGTCATAATCCAGGAGGTCTCTGATCCTGGTGACTTCTGCCAGGACCAACCTCTGGCGCACCGAGGAGGACTCTGCTATCTGCACACGTAGATGGGGATTGTGTAGCAGGGGCTCTGTGAGGAGCCTCCACAGTGGCTCCCCAGGAACTGG